TATTGTCCTTTTAATTCTACTTGTTCATTAGTATATAGGAAGGTGATAGACTTTTGTATATGTACCTTGTATCCTGCAACCTTGCTGTGATTGCTTACTAGTTCCAGGAGTTTTTTGTCTTGGACTTTTTGCATAGATAATCATATCACCTATGAAACAAAGACAGTTTTATGTCTTCCCTGTGAATTTGTGTGCCTTTAATTTTCTTTTCCCATATTTTTGACCCCTGTAGTTTTCTAGTGCCAGCAGCTTTTCCTACCATGTTGCCTTCTCTGAGATTATCTGTGGACTGTTGTGGGAGAGAATGGAGAGGAAAAAACCTGGGGGATTTCTTCCACTCTTTCTGTGCTTTGAGCAGAACCAAAGGGTTTTCTCCTGGACTTTTTCTGTTTGTACCACAGTACTGTTTGGGGGTCCTGGCTGTATTGACTTTAGGTCTGGGGATTCAAGAGAGAAAAAAGGCAAATTAGTAGATCTTGATTAACTCCATCATGTATTCTATGCAGATTTTATAGTTATATTTAGTGGATAAGATTGTATGTGTTCACCCCATCTTACCAGGATCCAAACTTGCTGGAGATGAGTGTTTCTGCCTCAGAGCTGCTGCAGCTGCCTGTTTCCCCCCACGGGAGGGGTTRGCTTTCCAGGCCTTTCTTTGTTAAGGAACATTCAGTCAGTGGAGGGCAGTTTTCTAGAGAAGCAGCAGCTGTGGGAAGATAGCGCCTCAGCCACTGGGGTCTGGTTCAGGTCAGAACAGTGAAAGGGAACCTGGACTGGTAGGGCAGCGTCTGCTGTGTTGTCATACTGTGTTCTTCTGCCCTTTTATTTATTTATTTATAATTTTTTTTAGTTGTTGATGGACCTTTATTTTATTTATTTATACGCGGTGCTGAGAATCGAGCTCCGTGTCTCACACATGCCAGGCAAGTGCTCTACCACTGAGCCACAACCCTAGCCCTAGCCCCTCATTCTGCCTTGACTGAGCTGTTTCAAGATTCACAAGTGGGATTTGCTCACCTTGCCTTTTGCATTCTCTTCAGTGTCTGTGAACTATGTGATTTCATTGTATATCCTGAGTTACTTAAACAGCTTCATAAGGAATTTTCCTTTTGTCCTTTCCTCCTTTTCGACCTTTTCCTTCCCTTTTCTATTCTTCTTCCTTTTCCTCCTCTCTTTATCTTTCCTTTTTTTTTAAAGCAAATAAATATAACTTTACACATTTTTACTGGGATAAAGTTAGTATACATTYAAAAATTTAGTAGCTATTACCTTTCAAAATGCTGTGTCAGTATACATGCACTGACAATTTGAGTGTCTGTTTTCTTATTGCCTCCAAGCATTCATTTAAACATTTAAAAACTAATGTAAATACAAACATAAAATATACTTAATTTTCTAAAGATTGCCAAGCAACACAGCACCAAATTAAATCTTAAGGGGGAAAAACAAGCACACCTTACAAATGTATTATTATTATTAATGTTTTATTTCTTATTATTAGTAGCATTGTTTTATTATTATATGATTTTATTTTATTTTTTACAGTAGTGGGGATTGAACCCAGGCCATTGTGTATGCTAGGCTTGAGCTGCATCTGCAGCACTTTTTGAATTTTATTTAGAGACAGGGTCTCATGAAGTTGCCAAGGCTGGCCTTGAACCTGTGATTCTTCTGCCTCAGCCTTAGTGGTGGTGTGTACCACCACTGTGGGCTACAAATTGTGTGTGTGTGTGTGTGTTAGGRATTGAACCCAGGGCTCTTACCACTGAACCATATCCCCAGCCCTTTTTAAATTTTAAGACAGGGTCTTGCTAAGTTGCTTAGGGCCTCGCTRAATTGCTGAGGCTGACCTTGAATTTGGCAATCCTCCTGCCTCAGCATCCAGRGTTGCTAGAATTACTGGTGTGCACACAGCACTCAGCTACAAATGTGGTTTTATTTTGAAATTTACTTCTCATCTTTGTTTATATACACATGTAACTGTTAAGTAATTGAACTATAAGTAAAATTTGGTGTTTTAATTCTGCCACATGATACATCATAAGCAGTTTGGTTGGT